CTTCTTACGATTGGAATTTTATAATTCTTTATTCTTATTAGTTTAGGTGTCCCAATTAGCCAATTATTTTGCAGTGAACTAGAATTTTGACAGTTAATTAAGTTATTTATTTATTTATTTATTTGGTTGTTTACTTATTTATTTATCTATGTATTTCCTACCTTGACCCAGAGTGAGACCTGTCAGACCAGCTGTCAGCTCTGAAAACACAACATCAAAAAGTGTTAGTTCAGAGAGTTTGCAGAACACCTCAAGCTTTTAAAAGGAGACAAAACTCACCGTCATCTTGCGAAGGGTCAGTGCTCAGCGCTTCGTCTTCATCCAAGATTTCTTGAACCTGACAAAGTGAAAATCGTTCTCAATTAACAAGATGGAAAAGTCAATTCATTTAACTGAGTGTTAAACACATTTTTCTTTGTATTAGTTCGGATAATTTGGTCGTGCGTCGCAGCAGTATTCAGTCCCTGGTTGATGATTTATTTTTTAAATTCTATCACTCGGCTATTGACAATGTACTGTTACTGTAAGGAGAAATTTCATGCTAAACATTCGTAAAAATTGATGGCTTGGATATGAGCTCACATGTCCTTAGAGTAGTTTCATCAAATGAATAGCATTAGTTAAAAGAGGTTAGGTCACCGTTTGTGCTGCAGTGCATCTTGAAGAGTTAAGCCTAAAGTTTTCAAATTAGTCCTTTGCAATCCGTGTTAATCTTATCCATCCTTAACCATCCTTGTCCTTTTCTGGATCATTATTATCTCTTACGTGTTTTTCTACCTTAGTAAACTATTTTTTTTTCAAGTTTCCTTCAATTTAAAGGCAATTTTGTACGTAGCCAAAATAACTCAAAATACCGTGACTAAGAACAACAAGGAAACAGTTTTATCCTAAATTCATCAAATAGGATTTAAAACACTTACTTCAGCCACGTTAGCTAAGTCAAAAGCTGTTTCTTCATCACTGTTTTGTAAGGTGGTATCAGCTCCTGCAGCCACTAGAAGAGCTGTCTGGCCCTTGAGCCCGCTGGCGGCAGCTATATGCAGCGGTGTGTTACCATCAAAGGTGGTAGCGTCTACATCACAGTTTGCCTAATAAGGAAATGTTACATCTTTAAACCTGATTGAACACTCAAGCAACCAATGAAAATCTAGTCTACATTTGTCTTCACATAAGATCCGCATCAGAGAAACTGCTAACCCTAAGCAATAAGACAATTTTTTAACGTTTTTTTTTTCAGTTTCCCGGGTTTTTTTTAGCTTTCTCGCCTTGAGCAGAAAAAAAGTCACAGTAAATGAATTATCAAGAAATTACGTGGGTTGTTTCAAAGCAAAATCTCGCTAAGAAATGACTGCCGATAAATAAAAAAACACAAAACAAAAAAAAAAACTAGAGAATTAAAGAAGAAACGAGCGAAGAAACTGAGATATGTAACTGAAGCAGGCAAACAAAACCGATTAAAAAGAAAGTGTGATTAAATTGCTCGAGAGGCGATCAAAAAGGAAACTGATGAAAGAAGAATACCTAACTTATTCAATAGTAGAATAAAAACAGGATCACATAAAAATTTACCTCCAATATGAGAAACCCAGCCACGGCCAAGTTATCTTGTTCAACGGCATGATGAAGTGGAGTTTTACCACTTGTACCGT